ATTCAGTGTAATGGAGGTCATTCTCTTCTTCATTCCCTATTACTGTAATATACCAAAGCCAGAACAGTCTGCAAACAAACAAGTGTGCCCTGGAATCTCAACCCCCACCAATTAAATTAACCCTTCCAATTAATCAACTAAATCTTTATTACTTATTTATTTGTCCATTCATTCTAAAATTGGTTTTCTGCCAACCAGCTATGAATAGCTCTCATGGAGGCCATCAATACATTAAAAGCATGTAACCCTGAACTTAATAACAAAGCAAAAACTATGCTCTAAACAAACAGCAACTCAGTCCAAAGCATCCTAGCATGGCCAAGCATTCTGCTGATTAAGCTACCAATTAAATTAATTAAAATTAGTAGCCCAAGTTATAATACTACTAAATAACAGTGGACGTCTACATTTTCCAGTTTCTCTTCAATATATTGATTCAAAATGTACAGAAGTTACCTTATACCAATCCAAGCCATTTATTCCAACTAGCAGCAACTCTCAGGCTCTCTGAGCTTGAAGTCTCTGACCAGAAATCCTTCTGAGCGCTTACAGGACTGCAGTCTTAAGCAACCTACCAGTCACCTAAAGAATCCCAAACCTCATGCAACCAACCAATGACAGATGACAAGCCATGATGTTGAAAAATGGCTGATGAATCTCCGTGCTATAGTTTAATGGAAAGGGGAAAAACAAACCAAAGGACCGTAAAGGTCTCCTGCACCACAGCCTTTGCCGTAACTTGAGCAGTTACTTGTTCTTATAACATTTCAGAATGTAACCAACAATCTTCTGCACACATTTGCCAGAATACAGTGCATAACATGATATGGCAAATTGGCAGAGCCTAACAGTAGCAAATTGAACAGTGTTCCGCGTACTACCACTCTACCGAAGGCTAATTAGCATGCAAAAGGTAGAAGACAGGCTAAGGTATCTGCGGTGTATATTTGCATTCACCCTGAAAGGCAACTCGTATTTGCTTTTAAAGCTCCCAGAGCAGCTTTCCAGCACATTCACAGTAGTAAGATAGCAAGCAAAAACTTCCTAATCAACACAACCTGTCAGAAGCAGCTATTTTCAGAAAGAGGAACAGGAAATTAGTGAAAAATATCAAAGGCCATACTATGCAAATCAAACTTGGTATACTTTCCATTTCAGAGGAACCAAGAGGACTCTTTTTTTTGGGGGGGGGGGACTTGCATGTAAATAGAAGCCATACTGAACCCTAAGATCAAACGCAGTATACACATTAAGGCTGGGGGGTGGGGCAGTGAACAGAATAGCTTTAGGACAGGATGCAGTCATGCTTACAGTACAACACTAAGCGAAGTGGGACACGTGCGCCATGCCAGCTCCAAATTTGAATGTGCCCTTGGGCATGACACCCTCAATGGGCACCATCTGCCACTGAGTTACCTTTTCACCACTACTGTCACCAGCTGCTATTTCCTTTCCTCTTCCTCTTCCTCCTCTCTGCCACTTGCTTGCTTGACTGGTGAAGGGTAAGGGGCAAGTAAGCCATGGCCCCTACTGCTTCTCTTCTCACCACCACTTTTATCTAGGCCAGAGCGAGCGGTGCAAAGAGGGAGAGAAGGGGCATCTCCAAGCAATTCGTGTCAGTGGACATCTTGTCCAGTTGTGGGCCCTCGGCAGGTTCCCAACAATGCCTATCCTTGATGCCGACCCTAAGGTTATGCCTAATTTGAGTCCCATTGTTTTTAATGGATCTACCCTAGGTATGACCGAAGCTGGATCCAACATGTACTATTGTCACATAAAATCAGGTCCTTTCATTACAGAATTTGTAATAACAGTACTTTTAATTAAGAATTAAAGATAGCCATGCAAAGGTTGGCCCACAAAATCTAGAGTAGAGCACTTGTTTTATTAAGACAAAATATCACACACACAAGATAGCAAGCAAGCTTTCAAGTTCTCCAGAAGTCTTCAGGTCAACTGTTCAATAAAAAAGGGTAGGCAAGAGTGGAATTCCCTCGTTTTTGTTGCTGTTGTTAATTACCAATATGTAGCCTGAATCTAACACTATCAATGCTTGAGAAGAGATGCTTGACTCCATGCACCAGAGCGGGGCTCAGCAGTTGAATTCCATGCAGAAATGAGGCATCTGTAAGTGGTACATACGGGTTTTGAGACAAGGCTACTCTGAAGTAAGCTTCCTCTTGAGAAACACCCTACCCTCAAAGCAAGCACAGAATTCAGAATCTATAAAAGCCACCAAGTTTTCAGTAATCAGTTTTACTAAAAAGCATGTGTTTTGACAAAGTTGTTTTGTTTCAACAAAACCAGGACTGCTTTTAGGAAGAGATTCTTTCAGTATTATTAAGAATGAAACAGCTCACCATCATGAAAGAGACACATACTTGCCTTCCTGCACAAAAAATTGTGGGAGAGTCCTCTAGTCTATTTTCTTTCACATCAAATTCCTAATCAATACATAATCATTAACAATAAAGTCAGCCTTTTGACCAATATTGCTTTTTTCAAAAGGTTACGTGACCAACCTTCAGAACTGGCCCAATCTTAATGCCAAAGCTTTACGATTACTTATCAGTAATTAACTGTCCCTAGCATTTATTATGTGCAATTATAAGCATAAGGATTAACTACTTTTATTTTGCACAGAATATACCAAACAAATTTGGACTGCTTTTCCTCCTGCTCCACAGGATCTGAGGAGCAATCCACTCCGCCCCCAGTCCTGAACAAAAGGCACAGTTTAACCTATTTCCAAAGCTGCAGATGACATGTGCCCAAATAGACTGTTCTTCAGTGGTTTTGTGAGCATTTCAACTGCCTCTCTATATTCTGACATTTTCTTTTCCTTCCACTGCTGGTTATGCAAAGAAAATATCTGGAATTCCTCCAATTATTAAATAGCTACACTTTTATATTTGATAAATCCTGTTACCATCACCCACAAAGTACACAAGCAGGCTTGTATTCTTTTTGCTTTTTGGGAAGCATGCACAAATGCTTTTAGGATTAGCACTGATGGATATATTTGATTTTAATCCGTTTGCAAGCAAACTGCTACAGCAGAAAGGGCACTGCATTCAGATACCTGGCAGTGGGGAGAGAGACACGGATGAAGTTGGTCTACCATGGCTGAGCATTTGGACAGATGAGGGAATTTGTGAAGTGGGAAGCTAATGCAAACTAATGAACCTGACATAGATTTACTAATTTCACCGGATACCAAAATTACCATCTTTTTTTAAAAAATTAAGATCTTTCACTATATTATGTCTCTTACATACATTTCTTCCCTGCAATATTTTATATTGGTATGCTTGTATGCACTTTTATAAAGTGCACAGTACATGAGTAATAAAGGGTGCTGAACCCCAGCTGATATAACTCCAGTCCAATACAACATCGGCAGTTGCAATGCAATAGCTGTAGTTATAATACGTAGTAATATATGTATGTAAAATAGGAAATGCATGATATGTGTAAGAATGACTAATATACTCAAGACTCAAAATGTGCAGTTTGCAATGCAGTGTTACCATATCTGTAGTCTGTAATAACTGCACTTCATAGGGTGCTTAATACAGTAATAGCAATCTGTGAGTCATGTAGGATGCTGAACCTCTGCAGGGCAGCTGTTTGATATTACAATATTTGCAGTTTATAGCATGTTACATAAAGCTCTTCTGTGGCCAAGGAACCTAGCGCTCCTGGGCACTGTGCAAACACAAGTCTTCAAAAATCGCAGCCCACAGGGCTACTTTAATTAAAGGTTACTTCCCCAGCCCATACACTTTTGCAATAGCCGGTCAACCGGCTGCCAAACTCAGACGCGTGCTGAAATATTAATTAGCACCTTCCTCTGTTTGCCACAGAGAGTTTAACTTGACTAGCAAATCCCTCCTTAGAGGTTTACAGGCGCCCCCTCCCCGCTGGCAAAGGCACGCTGGAAGGGATCGGAGGCCGGCGCGCCGCAGTCTCCCCAGCAGTTGCAAAGGTAGCTTTCCTGCTCTTTGGACCCGAGTTGGTGCTTGTTCCAAGGGCAAGCTGCTGCCACGGAGCCACGGACATTCGAGACCTCGGGCGCGACGCCAGCATCGTGGGAGGAGGGGGAACCCGTGGTCCTGCCCAGGCTGCCATAACGATGCCCGCACTGCAACGTGGTTACCCCCGTCAGTGACATAACCAAACCCGGCCACTGCAGTTGGAAGGCACCGCGGTTTTGGGGAGGGGGTGGAAAAGGGGGAAAGCAAGAGGCAGGCTTCTGATGAGCCCCGAAGAGGCTCGCGTGGCCCTCACACCTCGCCTGGAGTGGCTGGAAAGAAATCGCGCAGGGAAAGGGGCAGAAGCTGGGAGGGCCGATTCCTGGCTGATCAGAAGGAGGGTCCCCGAACAGGCAGCGCGGATCCTCTTCCCCGGGGAGCGGGGCGGGCGCGGGGCCGGGTGAAAAAGGGGCTGCGAGCACAACAATAAAGGCGCAGGGCGACGGCTGCTGCCCAGCGGGGCCTTGTGAGTGGACGGCGCAGCCACTCGGAGGCCAGGCCAGCTCCTCCAGGGAGGGCGCGCAGCATCCCAGCCGCGCTTCCCTCCGGGCGCGGGTCTCGCTCGAGGCCGCGAGGGGGCTGCTCGCGGGCGCACACGCGCCGTCGGCCCGCCGCGAGCTTCGCCAGGAGGGGCGCAGCCGGCGCGACGCGCACGGGAAAGCCAGCTCGGAATATACAAGTGCGGGCTCCGAGGCGATGCACGCGGCGAGGGGGCGGAAGGGGGCTGGCCGCGAGGGGCGCGCCGTGCCGGTGGGGGACTGGGAAGGCGCAGGGCGAAAGAAGGACGCGGGAGGCGGCGGCGGGAGGCGGAGTGGGAGGCGAGAGGCGGCCGGGAGCCACATGAGGCGTCTGGAATGAATGCGTCGCAGCGAGCGCGCCGGGAGCGCACCGAGAGGGCTCGGCTGCTCGCTCGCTCTTTGTCTTCTCCCCCTTCTCTCCCCTTCCTCTCGTCCTTCCCCGGCTTACCTGCTAACTCATCGGGCTCCAGCCCGCTGTCGGCGTCGATTCCGCATAGCACGAAGTAGTGTGCGAACCGGCACGGGGCTGAGCCCGATGCGGGCCCGGGGGGCGCCGCGCTGCCGCTCATCCCGCCCGCGAGCCGGATTCCTCCTCTCGCCGTCCCTTCCGCTCTCTCGGGCAATCTCCTGGCGCAGGGCAGCGCCGTTAGCGCCACGGGCGCGCTTCTCTCATGGCGCACGTCTGCCCGGCCCGGCTGGCGGCCTCCCTCTCGCCGCAGGGCGCACGGCTGCGACCGCGTCGGTGCCGGTGGCCGCGGCGGCGTCCGTCCGTCAGCTGAGGCTGCGGACGGCCCCGGAGCGCGGCGCGGCGCGGCGCCGTCGCCTCCTCCCGAGCCGAGCGGCCGCCAACCAGCGCCGCGGGAGGGAGGAGGAGGGCAGCGGGCCTCTTCCGCCCCGCCTCCTCGGCGGGACATTTAAACCGAGTGGCGCGCAAGGCGAGGAAGGGGCCGCGGGGGGATCGGGTGGCGCGGAGCTGCGTGAGGGGGTGGGTCGCCAGCACGGGGACCCCAAGCCCCTCGGGGGGGGGGGCTTCTGCTCCAGCACCCTGCTGTTCGCGGGCAGCTGCCGAAAGAACAGTCCGGGGGCCGAGGGTCTTTTGCCTCGGCCCCCAGGGTGAGCTAGCTGCCTTTTAGCCCACGTGCGCGTCGCCGTTCGCCGCCCCTCTGCATTTTTCTTTCCGCTTGCGAGGTTTCCATTCTAACATCCTATCCCTTGTCCAGATCGCCCTTTTTACAAATAGGGTTGCCCTTAGTGTAAGCAAGCGCTCGCCCTTTCTTTGTTTGCTCCGTGGACCTGAGCCCCGGATCTTCTGGGCAAGCTGCCAGCCTGCAACCTGGTAGTCCCCGCATGAGGTTACGTGTGCCGCGTTAGATGCTAGAAGGTGTTCATGAGGACATGAAGAAAGACATGCCTGTGGCTCAGGCGGCTTGCCAGCCTGGAGCAACTTGTTTTCTTTGTCCAGGCCCTCTTGTAATCAGGCTCCCTGCCTGGAACACCTGAGAACAAGAAGGTGCAGGGTTTAATTAGCAGCACGAATTACAGACGAGTTCCATTCCTGAGAACATCCTTAAGTTGAATTTGGCTGTAAGTTGGATCATGTATATAAGAAGCATATAGAACACTTAAGAAACACTACTGGTACTGGAGAGAGGGAATCTGTATGTATGTGTGTAGGTATACAGTACAGTGTTTGAAACAGTTTAGATAGAAAGTCAGAAAAAATGGTTAAAAGATTTGAAAGGTTAACACTTCTTGAACTAACATTTCCTTCCTCCCTTCCTATTCTTCCCTTTCTTGCTGTCCTCAGCATCTGGGGCCCATGGGCGTCCACTGGCCACTGTAGGATGAAGTTCATTCACAAGTACAGGCTATTCATAACCCAGACATTCATAACCTTGGGACTACCTGTATAATTTAGGATGAGAGAGGAAACATCGTGAAACAGGTGCAAATCAGAAATCCTTGCTGATCTACTGCCAATAACCTGAGAATCCACCATCGATTACCCCTGGATTAGATTATTTGATATGTATTAGCCCCCAGTTTATGACCTAACATTTGTGAACAGTCTCTGGGACTGGTTTGTGTGCATGAACAGAACAAAATAGGGTGAGTTCAGCACTCACAGCCCCAATCTATCTTCTCACCCAGAAAGCGCAACCCAGCCACAGTTAGGGCTGGTTAAAGAAGTAACAGGAATTGGGCATAAAGAGAAGGGGCAGGGCAGAAGCACAGGTTAAAGTTTTCTGGGAATTCAGGAGAAGATAGACTCTGCTGGCGTAAAGAGGTTCAGAAGGAGCAGCTAGAAAACACTTGAAGGACATCAAGAATAGAAGATAAAGAAGGGGCAAGCAAGATGGGGCAAAGAGGAGCTAATCCCCCAGTGAAGCAAAGGGGTGGCTGCTGGGAAGCAGTATTGTCACCACTACTACTATCTTTATACTTTGTCTTTGTTTCCCTTTCCCTAGGAATCCAAGATGGCCTACATAATCCTGCTTTTCCATATCATCCTCAAAAAGGCCCTGTGATCTAGGCTAGGCTGAGAGGCAGTGACTGCCCTAAAGTTACTCAGCAAGCTTTGCAGCTGAGTAGGGACTAGAACCTGGAGCTCCTGAGTTCCAAGGCAACACTCTAACCACTACATCATAGAAGCAGGCATAAGCAAGACCTTTCAGTACAGTCAGGAATACCTGGACAAAAAAGCCTTGCTCAGTTCTGCCAAATTCAATGACCGATGGGCTTGACTCTGCGACCACTTGTCTGCCTTGAGCATCAGCATGTATGCATTCTTTCCAATCCTAGAGCTGCTTACCTGTGTTGCTTTATGGACTTTATTCTAGCGCTTTATGGGCTCGATGCTTTATTCTAGCACTGCAGCTATTTCCCCACACTGTACAGCTTCCTCCTGATTCTGTCAGTGCTTATCTGTGTTGCATTATCGCAGGGGTCCTCGAACTTTTTCACCAAGGGGCCCGTTGAAAGGTGCCAGCACTGGGCGTGGGCCAGAACGGGGGTCCCGGAGGTGCGCTTAGGCTGGTGAGGGGGCGGGGGCGGCGCGTGCAGGTGTGCGCACTGAGGCAGGGGCGGGATGCACGGCGAGGCGCAGGTGGGCACTTGCGGCAAGGTGAGGCAAGGCAGGGGCAGGCATGTGCTGTGAGGCAGTGGCTTGCTCGCTTGGAGGTTGTTTTCTCCGAGTGAGCAAACTGCTACCTCCCTGCGTGCGGGGCAAGGTGGGCGGCAGTGGGCATCCAAATGGGCATGGCAGGCCGGATGAATGGGCACGGTGGGCTGGATCCGGCTCGTAGGCCGTAGTTTGAGGACCCATGCATTATAGGCATCCAGCCTGATCCTGCACGTGCTTATTGTGCTTTAGAAGGCTCTTGGGCAAAAAAAAGAAGGGGGTGCCGATTTGAGCACCGCTTTAAACCAAAGCACCTGCTTTGCATGTAAGAAGTCCCAGTTTCAGTCCCAGGCTCTTGAAAAGGAGAGACGAAACCTCCACTCTAATTGTTGAGTGCAACACCTGTGTGGCCCCACCCACAAGCTTATTTTGCTGCCGCCTCTGATCACTTATTAACCCTTAAAGACCCTGCAAAAAACTAAGCTGCTGTAAAAATTCTGAGCGATGCATTTTACATGCAGAAGACCTGGTGTGAATGCGCTGCTGAGTGGGTTCAGTTCTGTTAGCTCTTGCTAGAAGTGCAGACACCTTGTCATGCTTGCTTTTCAGTAGGCTTAAAATGATGATAATCACATTTGGAAGGTGGTTCCTGAGATTTTTGCCATTTTGCCCTTGGTATGAAAAGGTTTCCCAGCTCTTGTGTTAAAGGTTCTCAGGAGCAGAACTAGACCCAGAAGACCAGTTTGTAGTCAGACTAGAATGTCCTAGTCTGGCTAGACTAAAATGGCTTTTGCTTTAATTCAGCCCAGGTCTGTTGCTAGATGTGAAATGATGGGTGTACCTGGGGAAAAAAATGCAAGGATCCTATTTAGACATAATACTAACGGAAGCATATTTTATTTTGGTTGACTGACTGATTTCTATCCTGCCTTTTTATCTTCTCAGGAACTCAAGGAGCCTTATTTAATTCTCTTCCACCTCTCAATCTTATTCTTGCAACAGCAACCCTGTGAGGTAGGTTGGACTGTGAGCCTGCGACTAGCCCAATGTCACCCAAGGAGCTCCAAGATTGAGTGGAAATTAGAACCCAGATCTCCTGAGTTCCAGCTCAGCACTCTTGACCACTACATCACACTGGCTCTGCTTTAGTTCAGGGGTTCAACATGGCGGTGGATAAGGCCAGAGTCTCTTTCTACCACCCCCTTCTCTCTTTCTTTCTCTCCATGGAATTGGCAGATCACTCTTCCCAGATCACATATAGAGGGCTTTCAAAATTAGATTGAGGCCCACATTATAAAAGCTGTTGCTTGCCAATCTTTGATGTAAATGTTAGTTTATCTAAGTCAAGGTCATCAGCCATGGTTTGATCCTAATCTGTTTTGATGAACCATGGCTCAAACTAACCAGAGTTCCCTCCAGTTTGGATGCAACAATAAGCTCTGGTTAATTTGAAACAGGAAATAGATATTTCTGATCTCCATGTGGCCCCACTGGAGGAGGGGCGTGTGTCCAGCAAAGCCAGCTAAAGCATGGTTTATACACCTTCATTGACGCAGCCAAGTTACCTAGTTGATTATATGAAACGGTTTAATATTTTGTGACTACATTAATGCAATTTATCGTTATCTCAAGCATTTCAAATCCAGCTTGACTCTGCTTGAATCGCTGTCCCAATAATTTTAGATTCTGTCATTTCTGTGCTTGAGCTAAACCAACATTTTCTCTTTGAATGCTGCAGAATCAGCTGGATGGCCGTTTTTTGCTGCTTCTGCACATTACTGGCTCTGTTCCCTCCCTGACCAGCACTTCACTACCTCCCATTCAAAGCCAGTTAAGGTATGATCCTGTGCCTGTTTAGATAGAGAAAAGGCTTCCAGGACTCAGCATGCCCCAGACAGGATTATACCCGTAAGTGCTTAGATACTTTCTGTGTGTCCCTGTGAGTTGCTTATCAGCTTGTTTTATTTGGTTTGTGCTGCACATTTATGGTGCCTATAGATCAGACACTTAGGTCAAAATGGCCTGTCCTTCAAAGTGATTTTTTGACAATGGGCTGTCATTTCTTTGTGTTTTGAGGCAAACTTATCTTCTAGAGACAAGCGCGTGACTGACATATTTCTTCCAAAGAACCAGTACGGGAAGTTGATGCTATAGCTTATGCCTGGAAAACCCTCATGATCCATTTCTTCATGGGATTCTTTTGCATCTTTGGAACCATTCCGTGTTAATGTATTCCCAAAAGCTTCCTAACTCTTGAGAAAGCCAGTGTGGTGTAGTGCCAGAGTGGGACTCTGGACTCTGGTTCTAGTCCCAACTAAGCCTTGAAGCTTACTGAGTGACTTTCAGCTGATCTTTGAGCCCCAGCCTAACCTACCTCCTAGGTTTGTTGTGAGGATAAAATGGAAAGGAGGATTATATTAACTATCTCAGGTCCCCCTGTAGGAAAAAAGGTGGGATGCTAATGTCATACATTATATGTATAATTTAGTATATAAATAAAATAAACTTGTTTCCAAATTGTTGATGCTCAGTAATGTAGCAGAGCATGGGGCTGAGGACCATGATTTTTTAATTAATAGGAGCAGTGATGTCATCTACCTTCGCCCTCCCCCACACTTCCTTATTCCTCTG